TTCACGACGTTGTTCGCTCATTGTCCTCGGGTGCTCCCAACCCCCCAGCACATTTTTGCCGGTTGGGAGAGCTGCGAGTGCGTGTGTCGTGAACGTCACGGCCGTCACGAGACTGGTTGAGATACATTGACCTCTTACGCCACAACTCTGCGGCTTGCATTGCATCAATTGTCACCAGACGCACGACAGTACTCGTACTTCCCAACAGACGCACCGCATAATACTAATTTTATATCCTGGGGTACAAACAATAACGTCAAGTCTGCTCGCACGGGAACCACGAGCCGTCACGTCCTTGTTTTTCCCGCTTCTTCTACCCGCGCCTGGCACTCGGTCAAGGCGCAAACAGCATCAGTCGCCATGACTGGTCCCGTCACCACCAACCATGACGACACGATATTGCACATCCCGCCTCCGGCCACGACAAGTCCCTCCTCGGAGCCATCACCGCCCGCTCGACCCGTTGCAAACCGAGCTGCAACGCCCCTAGGTCTTTTTCTCGACAGCTCTGGCTTCAGCAAACCGAGTAGCACCAAGGGTCCAACAACTGCTGGTGGCGCTGGCGCTGGCATGGGACCGACTGGGCACAGGGCCGACCTGTCACCCGCCGAGACACCAGACCTCAAGCTTGCTGCCGTCTCGCCCGCCCCTGCACATACCAGCGCCGTTGCTGGTGTTGTTGATTCAGTGCCATGTGCAGCCCAGGAACAACAGCAAAAGCGCCCCGATCCCAGCGTCGAAGCCGTCGAAGCCATCATCGTCAGTCCTGGTCCTGCCTCTGGCTCTGAGTTCGGCTCTTGTTTTGGCTCTGGCTCTGGCTCTGGCTTTGCCTTGCAATCCTCCATGTCTCCATCTACTACTCTCGGATCCTCGGTCCACAGCGTCCACAGCGTCCACAGCCCCAGTGCACCGGCCAGACCTCACCCAATCCAGGCCCCGTCCCCGGCCGACCCTCGAGACTCGGCCAGCCAAATGACAAAGTCAACGTCGCCCCCCGATCGCGACGCAGAGCTGACCTCGTCTGCCGATCTTGTTGATGCACGTCCGCTTCGTACCGCGAGTGTGAGGGCAGACACGCGCATGGTTCATCCAAAACCAATAGCCCGCCCGCCAGCCCTGAGCCACGGGATTCCTGACAAGTTGATCCGATCCGGATCCGCCGCAGGGAACATCGCCCAACTCGAAGCCACTGCTGAGCGGCTGTCCATGACGAGTTCCATCGACGACGCCATCCGCGACCTGCATGGCGAGCTGAAGAGAAGTGACAGCAGACGGTCAGCCAAGCTCGCACTGGCCACGATGGCCTCGGTCGACGAAAACACCACGTCTCCTGCTAGCCAGCTCACTCGACACCTGTCCACGACCTCCTCAATCGTCTCCACTAATAATGCTGCGAGACACGGTGGCTATTCCCCTGCTGGCTTCGTCTTGTCACCAAACACATCGCTCACGAGTCGCCTTCGATCCGGCTCCGGCAACTCGTCCGGAAGACAAGATGCAACCCACGATGCAATACTCTCTAGACATGGCCCTGGAAAGTCGTCCGTCCGCAGTGTTCGCTCCACCAAGTTGTCGCTTGCCGAAATCTCCGAGTCGGAGCCAATATCTTTGAACCAAAAAGCCTTTGACGAGGCCGACGCCGCCCCGCCACTTGAAGAGCAGAGTGCCGAGAGTCTCCAGTTGCCAGAGGAAACCATCGTGGGCACGTCCGGCACCGATGCATTTCATCAGCTGCATGAGGACACCCTGGGACCCCAACCTGACTCTCAGCACGCTCCCATGCATACGCTGTCCCCAGCACCACTGGGTCCAGAAGAGTACCAATACGAGCAACGCCCGGGGAGCGTCCATTCCAACAACACGTCCGAGCAGGCTCGCGATGCTTTCATCGACTTTGACGGTGTGCACTGGGAGCCTCAAAACGAGGAAGATTTGTATGTGCCACCGGAAGTAGAGCCGGATTTGCCAACTCCCCGCCCTATACCCATCTCGATGCCTCGCCCAACCTCCTATATCGACCCTTCAAGTGGTCAGAAAATGCTGTACTATCCTGCGCGCGTCCCTGCTATGCTCAACCTGCCCCCCAAGTTGTCTTCCAAGCCCAAGGCTGCCACTAGGAACCAAAGGAGGTCCCAGGTTCTCAGCATCATGATGGACGCTCCTACTACTCAAGACATCTCGGCATCTCCTAAACGGAACCGGCAGTCCACATTTAGCGATCTGAAGGGCATATCTTCTGCCGCACAGGAGGCTCCGGTTCGAGATTCATGGCTACCGGACCCCATTGCCAATCACCGAGACTCTTTTGCTGCGCTGTCCTCATTCGACCCTTTCGACGGCAGTGAAGCAAAGTCTCTGCACGCAGCCGCCGAAGACTCGCCACCCACTCCGCCGCCAGAGGAAGCGGCAGAATGTAGTGTGGTGCAGGACACCCTGCGCCGCCCCGAACGATTATCAAAAGCGCTCAAGGAGAACCGAAAGTCAAAGGCGTCCATGCTTGACACGTTGCCACCACAGCTTAGAGCCAGCGCTTTCTTTGATCTTCCGTCTGTCGCCCATGAAGTGGAGATTAAAGACGGCTCCGCCATGGCCACCCTCGACAGTATTCTTGACGCCTCTACCAGTGCACCTGTTAGTGCTTTCACAGATCATGTCTATGCTGGTAAGCTTGGACCCGAAATATATGGCAAAGCAAAGAAGAATACGGCTCGTCAATCTGTTGCTACTCTGAATGGGCTCGCCCCAGAACCCCAGGCGAAGAAGAGATCATCTATGATGTGGCTCGGAAAAAGAAACTCCAGCTACAATAGCGACGAACAGAAACGGCCGCACAGCAGCAGCATACCGGTTACGACACCCGAGGCAGATGGATCTCAAGACGGACGAAATGCCCCGGGCAGCATTGACAATGCTGATGAGGCCATCGAAGCTGATGTCGACAAGGGTGACAATGAGGGCGAAGATGAGGAAGGGGACGAGACAGCGGCTCCCGAGGATGCCTACCTCGGTCCTCCTACAACGCTGCTCGCTGAACTGCAGTTGCGCAAGCATCAGCAAAAACAGCGAGTGAGAAACATGGGCAAAGGACTTCCTAATGGCATGTATGCTACGCTTTTGGACATGGACACTGTGGCAGAGGCTCAGAGGAAGAACCGTCAGAATAAGAGAGTCAACCTGGCCTGGGAAGACCCAGACGCAAATTTAGACCAGAACGGATCCGATGACGAAGATGTGCCTTTGGCCATTCTTGCCGCGATGCAACGTGGGGCCAAGAATTTGGCAGATTTGGATCGGCCCATGGGTCTCATGGAGCGCCGAGAACAAGAGGACAACGAACCTCTGAGCCATCGCCGGGCTCGTCTACAGGGAATAGATGCGCCACCGCCTGTGTTGCGCCAACGCCACAGTGTCATGTCTTTATCTGCCGCCCAAGCCCTTCAGGTCCCATCGTCAACCCCCCGAGTGGAAGTTGTGCCGAGCCCTGAACCTGAGGTCGAGGAGTTGGAAGAGGAAACGCTGGGTGACAGACGTCGCAGACTTGCAGCCAAGGATGGGGAGCTGCCACTGGCCCGCCCAGTAAGCCGCGCTTTTTCATCCGAGCTTCTAAGCCAGTTTGGAGATGCAGAGGATGCAACAAAGGAGTCGAAGAGCAAGAAAGGTGATGGGAAGGAAACACAAGCTGCGGGCGCATCTGGTGAAGACGAGACCCTAGGACAACGCCGCCGACGACTGCAGGCAGAACGCGAAGCTCGGCAGCGAGAGATGAATTACGGCAACTTGGCGGGCGACCAGCCAGCCCAGGAACCTCGACGGCGACTCAGCCTTGCCAATGTGCTAGCTGCCCACCCCAAGAGGGAATCAGACAGACGAACACAGGAGGAGAGCCTCCGAGCCGAGGAACAAAGACGCGCCGCCCAAGACCGGGACGCCAAGATGGCAGCCATGAGAATGCAGATGCCGTCGTCACTCCCCCAGTCAGGGCTCGAACGATCCGGTGGGTTCCTAGGCGGTGCCTTCAATGACGGCACGGGCGGCCATGGGCCTAAAGCAGGTTTGCCCAGCACTGCTGTCAACAGTCAGGGCCTCTTGCCTGGCAAGCGGTCGAGTGTGATGACAAGTTACGGACCCGGCTTCGGAGCTCCAATCGGCCAGCCTGGGTACGGTGTAGTGAATGGCTATGGGCAAGGTTATGGGGGGCTGAATTCCATGGGTTCCTTTAATGGCCGGCCTGCAACGCAAATGTATGGCACTGGCATGATGTCTATGCCTATGAACAACGGGTCCATGGACCGTGTGGAACAATGGCGATACGGCGTCCGACCGTGAAGCCCACCAACAACAGTTTCCCTAGAGCGCGGCATGTGTTTTTCTATTGCTTAATTTTGTTTAATAGCATACGGCGACAAATATTCTCCTTTGTTGAGAAGAAACGGAATAGGCGAACTGGAGGAGACGGCAATCTATTCTGTACTGGTGTATAAGCATCATATACGCGGGAATGCATACTTTTTTTTTTGTGTGTTATAATTTGCATGTTGGCTTTCTTCGGTGGATGCATAGCATGTGGCTTTTTGTTTCTATTTTGGCGGCGAGGCGCTGGATATCTGGGACACTTACAATTGCGTTGGGAAATATCTATACTATACTAATTACATCTAAGAAGCAGTATTAGCGAACTCGAGGGCTTTGACAATAGGATACATAGACCGGCGCACTTGTATGTACATATCAGTAAGAAGTAAGAGACTTGTCGAAAAGAAACAGTACCTGCAGCCGCTCTGCGACAATGTGGACCGAGTGAAGCGCGGTGTCGGGGATACATATGTCGACGATATGTCTGTGATTCCTATTTCGGCGCAGAGTACCTATATTCGCCGTCTCCACTAGATGGATGACACCATTCCTGCGATACAGAAGTTGGAGGAGGATTTGTGGGCACGACAACCGCAAGTGGCAACGGGCATCTTGCATCCCAACGGACTTGAGTAATTTCCACAACCATGACGGCAGCCGCGGAGACGAGCGAAATATACCCCATTTCCGCATTCATACATGATCTGCCCGTCACTCTGAGTACCACGCTGGCTCGCGAAGCAGGAGCAGCAGCAGCATCACCACCGGGTTCCATCTCAGCGAGACGCCTCATCATCATCGGGGATGTTCACGGGCTACGGAAATCGCTGGAAGCGCTCCTCACCGCAGTGGGGTTTGACAAATCGCAGGGCGACGAGGTCATTTTCGTAGGGGACCTGGTGAACAAGGGCCCCGACTCCGGGGCCGTGATTGACTTTGCCGCGAGGATTGGCGCGCGAGGCGTGAGGGGGAATCATGACGACGCCGTCCTGAGGGCTGCTCAGCGGCTGAAGATGGGCCCAGCGGGCGATGACGACGACGACGGCGAGGATGGGAACCAGAAGGACAAGAAGAGGAGGAGCGTGAGCGCGCGTACCGCGGCGGCGCTGTCGGCCTCGCAGCTCGACTACCTCGCCGCGCTGCCTCTGCTGCTGCGCGTCACGGTGACGCCGTCTCTGCCGGGGATCGGGGAGATTGTCGTTGCGCACGCGGGGCTGGTGCCGCGGGTTCCGCTGGAGGAGCAGCCCGCGCACGCGGTGATGCACATGCGCAGTTTGAGGGCGGCGGAGGGGGGGGCGCTGGTGCCGATGGAGGAGGCCGGGGAGCAAGGCTGGATCGCGGAGTGGGATGCGTGGCAGGACGAGTGTGCGGGAAACGTGAAGACGATGGTTGTGTTTGGGCACGATGCCAAGAGGCGGCTGCAGAGGGGCAGGTACGCGCTCGGCCTGGACACTGCGTGTGTGTATGGGGGCAAGCTGAGCGCTTGGGTGGTCGGGGCGGGCGAGGCGAGGGTTGTGCAGGTTGACTGCGCGGATGAGGTGGACGAGGTCCGTGGCTCGTGATGTTGAGAGGGGGTTGGAGGACGTTGTGGTGTTGTGGTGTTGTTGCGCGGACTTTTCAAGTTGTCGAGTGCCTGGCGCATGGGTTGTTTTTAGGGTCTCTTGTCTTCAGGGACTACGAGCATTTGAGTATCCTCGGCAGGTTCGTTTGGCCAGGGGTTTGCTACGATTCTCCTGTCGTGCCTCGCAACCCCTATTAGCATGAGTGCGGTGTTGCGCGCAAGAGGAGTAATAGTCTCCCCCAGTTCAGACAAGAGAAGGGGTAAAGCAGCCAAACTGTCACAGTTTTTCAAAATACATACCTAGGTATGTATATATCCGAGTGCTTGGTTTGCAGAGCGTGAAAACCACGAAGGGAAAGACTCTTGGTCAGCCGAACCTGTTCACAACGGCACACTCTACTTCTTTTTCTCATTCAGATAGGAAAAGCCCCATTTGCATATATTGTATTTATGTTCTAGTTCCTGCGTTCGTACGCTACCTTGCTGTATAACGGATAGGGTTTGTCTTGGAACCAGCGACAACTCGGCTTTACAAGAATGTTGACATTGCCCCATCCACAAGGACGTTGGCACCACAAACATAACCCGCGAGCGGGCTTGCCAGGAACACGACGACATTGGCCACCTCTTCTGCGGTGCCGAATCGGCGCAGAGAGACAGCATCCAAAATGCCCTGGGCATATTCTGGGTTGGTCTCTTTGAGCGTCTGAATACGGCTTGGCTCTCGTGACCCATCAGGGAGCACCTTTCCCGGTGCTTCAATCGGGCCAGGAATCACAGAGTTGATCCGGATACCCAGCGGGCCCAACTTGCGAGCATAGTCCTTGGCCAACGTGGCTTGGGCACGCTTAAACGTCGTGTACGGGCTTCCGGCGACATCAAAGCGAGTCTCGAATCCCGCCACCGAACTGACGACAACAATGGAACCCGACGTCTTTTCCAGGTGCGGCGTCGAAGCGTTTATAAGCGAGACAAGGCCGAGGACGTCGGCCTCGAAGCTAGTTCTCCAGCTTTCCGCCGTGGCTTCGGTGCTAAACGAGGCCGCTGTGGCATGTTTTAGTCGAGGCACTGTGGCATGTTTTAGTCGAGGCACTGGGTAGCGATCGATTGCCATGGGGGGCATCTGTCATACCGTTGGCAACGACGACGTCGACGCGACCGAACTTGCGGGCTGCCTTCTCAACCCACGTCTCTATGGAAGAAGGTGACGAAATGTCCACGGAAGTGCCAGAGGCCGTACCGCTTGGTTTGCTCTCGTCTAGAAAGGCGGCAAAGTCGTTGTCTGTGGCCGACCGGGAACAATACGAGACGTTGGCTCCCTGTGCGAGTAGAAGCTCGACAATGGCTCGCCCGATGCCCTTTGTGCCGCCTGTTGAGATGTGGCATTAGATACGTCAACTTTGCTCTGTAAGATGCTGAGAGAGACGTCGTGGAGGTTTTTGTATTTACCAGTGACCAGAGCGTGCTTGCCCTCTAGTTGCGTTGAGAATGAAGACATGATGGAGTCAAAAGTTGGACGCAGTTTGATGTTTATTGGGCAAAAAAAAAAAAAAAGGAAATTGTCGACTGTGCTAATCTAGATTCAAAGCAGCTGAGAGCCTGTGAACATTCAGTAATTCTGCAACGATATCATCGCACTTGATATAGTTATATAGTCGGTTGTACAGCCCAGAGCAGCCATGTTATTCACAAACTGCCACTCCACCAAATGCCTCGTGCTTGCGGACTTTGTATTTCTCATTTTCCTCTTTGGGCCAACCAACTCCTGCTACAAGGACTCTTGTGGACTCTGCTACCAGGGTGGTTATCGATTACACAGCGGCCAAATCTAACTCGTGCGCTCCATCTGCCGGCGACTTCTGTTGTAGATTTGTAATTTCATCGGCGCTGGAAAAACAGCTCAAGTCTGACTTTCCTATTTGGGAAACTATCGGCCTTGGTCCTCCGCTCCGCTCCGCCGGGGGGGCCTAAAAGCCCGGAGGGGACCATTTCTCAGCGACACCGCCAGCGTGCGCGAGGACTGACGTGGTTTTTTTTTTCAAACCCGCAAGAATCTCCCAAGTCTCGTCTAGTAGCTGGAGACAAGGCAGCTCACACTCCTTGACCTACCTGACAAACGCACCGGACTTGGACCCTGCTGGGTTGAAGTTGGCCAGAGGCCATGCCACCAAGAGTCCAACTTTGAGCGCCGGCGCATCCGGCATGGCGGAGGGAAAGAGGAGCGCGAGAAACCGCCATTTACCGACGAACCAATGGCCATTGCCGCAGAATGCGCTTCAGCGTGTGCATTGGACCAAAAGGGTCGAAAGGGCCACGACGCATACCTGGCGAGCTGTCAGTCTCGTATCGGCGAGCCTTGACCGGGTTCCGATGCGGGCTGCGGTGTCTGTAGGCCATGGGCATGTATTCAAATGTCGACGCCGGAGATGCCATTGGCGCGCCCCGGAGGCGGTCGGAGGCGGTCGACTGCGAAATCGGCGCATATACATAGACGCCAAGTGCTGGCTGTCCTTGACGTACGAATAAAGGGCTGTATTTTCACGCTTGGCATCGCAGCGCATCTTCTTCTCTTATACATACATGGCTACCTGCATCCTGCGCCCATGGCCCATTCCCCGGCTTTGACAGCCTGCCCCCGGAGCTCTCTGAGCTCATATGGCGGTTCTGCTTACCGGCCGACGAGCCAGAAGTCTGTTGTCCCATGTGGCCGGTGCACCTACACGCCGAGTACGAGGGACTTCAAGGCTCGCCCGGGGCGTCGCTGCCGCAGCCGAGCCGTCCCTTTGTGGCCGGTCGACACGGGGTTCCCAGTCTTGACGCACGTGTGCCGCGAGTCGCGCTCGTCTGCGGCCGGCGGATGCCAGGTCCCACGATACAGGCGACACGACGGGCGACGACGGGGCGGTGCCGTCAGAAGTCGTCCCGCTGCCGCTTGCGCTGCGGCAGTGTTGCGAGGAGGCTCGAGACGAGTGCGCGTCGCGGAGCGTGGGCGTGGTTCTCGCTTGGCGGCCAAGACGTCTGGTGGCTGGGCCATTTGACGATTCAGGCTCAGACCTTGGCCGAGTGCCAGAGGGACGGGACGTGGCGCGAGAGAAGGTTCATTTGATAATGGCAGGGGGCGGTATATCATGGGCCGGTACGTGTCGGTCGCCGAGCGGCCGGACCCCGAAGTCGTCCGGGTCAATGATTTGGATGGCGCGTTGGAACAGATTTACGTGGCATGTTTGTCGCGAATCGTCATGTAGCCAAAATCACTTGGTCAAGAGACCCAAGACAGTCAAGAGTCAAGAGTCAAGACACTCACACAGCCCGTGGAGGTGGTAACCACCATGTTGGAACATGTACAGTACATGATGCCAGCCACTTCGTACCGAGTCATACGGAGCGAGCACACAATGCCCGTTTCCGGCTTGTATCACACCAGTAGCAAATGTCGCCATGTTTGTGTGGGGGATGTTGCAATGCGAACCCCAGCCAGGGTCCGATTACACCATCCTGTCAAAAGTGGATAATGTCGATAAGCTATAAAAATTAAAAAAAAAAAAAAAAAAGGGCGCGAGAGAAACGTCGCAAAGTAGAAAGCGTCCTTTGCTTGCTTGCGCAACGCCCATTCGCGGTCCCTGTGTGCCACGGGAGCCGATCCATTCCTCGTCTCGTCGGGCGGGACAAGTTGTTGGAAACGCCGTCTCTGCAGTCTCTCCTCTCCGCTGGAACCTGGGAGCTTGATTTCCAGTCGCGAGGCGCACCTTGCCATGGCCCTCAAGAGCTTCCTTGCCCGCGTCAAAGGCGCCAGGGGCAACCACGCAGCCATCGTGGACAGCAACGGCGCCAAGGGCTACGGGACGACGACGACGACTCCTCTTCCGGGCCCGGCCGACGACTCGGGTTTCGCGTCCAACGTTGAGCGGCAGGATGCTGCGCCGGGGGTGATCCGGACGACGCCGGGGCCGCCGCTCGGATACAACGACGACCACGCCGACGATGATGACGGCGACGACGACCACGCCGGCGACCTCGTCACGGCCGGCGAGGGCCGCCATCTCAAGCGCGGGCTCGCCGAGCGGCATCTGTCCATGCTCGGCATCGCGGGCGCCATCGGGACGGGCCTGTTCCTGGGCCTGGGCGGCGCCGTGCAGCGCGGCGGTCCTCTCGGCGCGCTGCTCGGCTATGCCACCGTCGGCCTCGTCGTCTGCGCCGTCCAGTTCGCCCTGGGCGAGGTCGCGGCGCTGCTCCCCGTCACCGGCGCCTTTGTGCGGCACGCCGAGTTCCTCGTCGACCCGGCCTGGGGCTTCGCCATCGGCTGGAACCTCGTCTACGGCAACATCCTGTCCATCCCCTCGGAAATCACCGCCATCTGCGTGCTCTTCGAGTTCTGGACCGACGTCAACCCCTCCGTCTGGATCGTCACCTTTGTCCTGCTGACCCTGGTTGTGGGCCTCTCGTTTGTCCGCCTCTTCGGCGAGGTCGAGTTCGTCTTTGCCGTCCTCAAGATCCTCCTCGTCGTCTTCCTCGTCGTCCTCGGCCTCGTCATCGACCTCGGCGGCGTCAGGGGCACGCCGCCCGTCTACTTCCGGTACTGGCGCGACCCGGGCCCCTTTGTCGAGTACATTGCCACCGGCCACTGGGGCAGGTTCCTCGGCTACTGGAGCGTCATGACGGGCGCCGTCTTCTCCTTTGCCGGCGTCGAGTCCATCGCCATGGCCGGCGCCGAGACCAGGAACCCGCGCAAGGCCATCCCCGCCGCCTGCAAGAACGTCTTTATCCGCATCGTGCTGTTCTACATGCTGGCCATTCTCATTGTCGGCATGCTCGTGTCCAGCCAGGACAGCCGCCTGGACAGGGAGAGCGGCGACGCCACCCAGAGCCCCTTTGTCATTGCCGCCTCGGCCGCCGGCATTCCCGCCATCCCCTCCGTCGTCAACGCCGTCGTCATCACCTCGGCCTGGTCTGCCTCCAACCAGAGCCTCTTGGCCGGCACCCGTGTGCTGTACGGCCTGGCCGTCAAGAAGCAGGCGCCCAGGATTTTCCTGAGGACCACGTCCTGGGGTGTGCCCTACGCCTGCGTCTTTCTCTTCATGACCTTTAGCCTCCTCAGCTTCATGAGCCTGTCAAGCGACGCCATCACCGTCTTCTGGTGGCTGGTCAACTTGACAGCCGCCGGCGTCTTGGTCTCGTGGATCTCCATCCTCGTCAACCACATACGCTTGCGCTTGGCCATGCAGAAGCAAGCCATTCCAATTACTAGGCTGCCCTGGTGGAACTCGTGGACATGTGAGTACCCTGCCGACTTTGAAAGAAGGAAGAACTGAATGCTAATATACCCCCCTCGAGTGTACTCGTCATACTTTGCCCTCTTTATGTGCATCATTATCCTTTTAACAGGCGGCTTTGCCGTCTTCACCAAGGGCAATTGGAACGCTAGCAACTTTGTCTCTGCGTACCTGTACGTTTATCCCGCCGTCTTGGACCTAACAAACTTGGTGCTGACCCGTCGTAGCGACATACCGCTTGTTTTGGCTGCATACTTCATCTGGAAGTTTGTCAAAAAGACCAAGATTGTCGCGCTGGCTGATATCCCCTTACAACGGGCGTTTGAGCGGGCGGACCAGAAGTATGAATCGCTGGCGTCGTAGAAGGCGGCTTGACCACATCCAAGGACGAATGTTGTATATACCGACACTTGACATGGACAAGTGATTCTATAATGTCATCGACTTGAGGCTATCAATGGGTCCAAGATGAAAAATGGAGGCAAGAGATTGCGGATCCATCATGTGACGACGGTGATGATTCTTGTCTTGTATTTCCTCCCAGGTCATTTCATTTGCCATGGAAAAACTGATAACTTCCCATCAATACGGCGTCGACTGAACGAATTACACATGCCAGCACAAAAAGTTGGGTTGGTGCCATTTGCAATCCATGCATTGGGCCCATGACAGCTATACTTTCAATATGAAACAAGGCCGGTCACGTCAAGTTCATGTCTTGCATCCGTAGCACCCATTTCAAGAGCTTGTTGGACAGTTGCCACATTCAAAGACCAACAAGGGTTCATGACATTGACACCTTTCAGGTTTGGTACACGTATTGCCAGTCCGCGTTCCTCACCGTGGTCTTGCTGCCGTTTCAAAGGGTTCTCCGAGACACTAAGACCTAATATTGGTGGATAAATTGGCACATGTAAGACGGCGGCCGCAGAGCTCCCCGGCGAGCCATCTAGAACATGCTCTCCCAATATGCATCAACCTAGTATGACGTAAGCGTCAGCGGCTGTGTGACCCTGGCGTCGTAATATATTGTCAACATTCTAGATTTTGGTGCGTTAGAGCCAATGAGAATCATCTTCTGCCCGTCATGTATCGAGGCAAGACCGTTCGGGCCGAACCGGTCGAGTTCGTCGGCCAACACATCGGATTACATGGCGACTTGGGTTCTCACACGAGGCCACGAGACATTGGTCAATCCTCGGCATTGGATTATGTCATATTCATTTGCAAACTTTATTGGCTTGCTCGCAACAGGTACGTGTCGTTGACGATACTGTCTGGCTGACGACGGCGTTTCTAGGAGAAGAATTATATACGATGCGTTGAGTAGCAGTACTCTCGGCCATACCGCAAGCAAAATTACTACAAGACCAAGTGTTCCCGACATCATTTTTGACTCTAACAAGAAACAAACTAAATCCGTCTTCGAATCGCCCAGTCCTTCTCATAACCTCACAACTTACAAGATGCATTTCTCTGCTTTGGCCCTCTCTCTCATTACCTTGCTCCGCTCAAGCAGCACCCTTGCCACCGCCGCAGAAGCATTCGACGATGAGGCCTTGTACAAAAAGACTCTTCCAGAGTTCACCCCCGACGGGCTCAAGATTGTCGACCTGCGGTTCAAAAATGACCTAGAAAAACGAGGAGTGTGCGGCAGCGTGCCCGGCGTTGCCAACGGCGAGTGCGTCCGATACTACAGCAGCACCGGGTGCGCCGACCAGGACCACATCAAGGGCTACAAGCCCACGTGTGCTGGCAACTGCTATGTCGATAAATTCTACTCGGTCAAGGCCATTGGCGACGGCACCTACTCGACGAATTGCGACCTGTTCTCGGATACTTCGTGCCAGAATAAGATTGCGAGCGTTGGCGGCAAGACTGGCGGTGGGCATTGCGCCAATGCCAACGGCTGGAGCATGAAGTGCTACTACCGTTGCTAAACGGCACATGAGGCCGGGAGCATTCAAGTATTATCTGGCTGGGCTCTGTGAAAGTTTGAGGTGGCTGGTTGGCTGGTTGGCTGGTTTCGCACAAGTCGAGTACTAGATGTCTCGGCATTCATCATTGCTCCCACGCGTTTCTTGTCTTAAGATAGCTCGTTGCCACGTCGAAAACTTGGATCCTTGCTTTGTATTCCAAAGGCGAATCTGGACCCTAGAGCCGGGTGTGCAATTTCGTGCTTTTGGTGACATGGAGTGAAGAGTGAAAACAAGGTTGGCGTAAACGCAACCAATCGGCACTTTGATATCAGTTTCTGACTAATCAATCCTCTCTCACCGAATGACAACACGGTGCCTCCCATCTTCCCAACTGCGGTTCAGCAGACTTGACATTTGCATGATACCAAGGCCATCTAAGTCTGGCAGTAGATTTACCAAACGTCACAATGGTTTCCAACAAGCCCCGTTCCTGTCCGGGCGGTCCGGGAAACCGCATAGGCGGCAGGCCGCGCAAGGCATGCGATGAATGCAGGTCATTGAAGGTTGGCCAACGCCGGTGAACCATTCATCCCCGTGTCACCTCCTCTTCATCACAAATGACAAGTGCAAACAGCGGTGGCAATGGGGCTAATTCCTGTTTGTAGGTACGCTGTGATAACGAGGGACCGCCGTGCAGGCGATGCAGCCGCCTCCATCGACCTTGCACGTGGACGACGTCAACGGCAACAACTCGTCGGATTCAAGGTCCGAGCTGCAACATGTCATCTGGTGTACCGGCGGAGCGTGCGTTCAATGAGGATTCTCCGATGGATATTGGTATTCCCGCGCCATTGGTGTCCAAGCTGGTGGATAGCTACTTTTCCAACTTCTTCTACGCAACGCTTCTTCTCCATCCACCCACTTTCCGGGAGGACTTGGTGACTGGGAGTGCAACGAAACACGTCGTTCTGGGCGTTTGCGCCGTCGCATCGGGGTACGTCGCGGGCAATTTACGATGCTCATGATGGCAAGAGGAACGGAGTTGACATACTATATAGTTTGTGCCCTGACAGTGGCCAAGACGCTCATCTCCTGAATGATGGCGCTTCGCTAGAATGGGCCGAGAAAGCCCAAGCACTCGTCTTTGCACATCTTGCTGCTCCCAAGGAAGAAAACCTGGTGACACTACTCAACCTGACTCTTTTCTGGTATCGCCTTGGGCAATGGCAGCGGTCGTTTCTCCTTGGAACAAACTTATTTTGTGCTGCCCGCATGCTCAATTTTCCGGATTCCGTTTCATCCATGGATAATACTCTGCCTGCTGAGACAAGTAGAAGGCGATTCTGGGCGTGTTACATCCTGAGCCGCTTGGGTGGAATGCTTGACGGCTCGAATGCGACGGTAGACGCTCTTGCGCGCATGCCTCTTCCACAGAGCGAACAAGAGTTCGGTAATGGGACGCTGTCTGAGAAGTTGGTCAAGTTTGAGAATAGTGAGAGGAACGGCAGTTTCTTTGCCGAGGTGATTAGAGTTGGCAGCATCTGGTAAGAGGTGCCATGTGTCGTGAACACTGACGGCTCGCTCATCAACGGCTCATGAATCAAGTGCTAATTATTTGCGGCCTGTAAAGGAAACAGGTGCACAGTTTCACACAAATCGCCGAGCTAGACATTGAAGAGCGGCTGTCAAACATGCAAGCTTTGGACATTGCGCTTCGAAAATGGCGCAACGGCTTGCCCGACATGTTTGCTTTCAATTCGACCAACCTGGAGCATTACCAGCCATCCGAGGTATCGCAAATACTTCTCATCAACATACTTTTCCATCAAAGTCTTTGTGTTCTGCATGCCTCAATCATTCCGTTGTTTACCTTTTGCCGCATCCGTCCTGGCTGCGAGGATGCCCAAATACGATCAGCGCAGACTGCATTCGACCATGCCCAACATATATCGTCGCTGCTCCAAAAGTGCATGGCATCACACAGTGAGGGCCATTCGGGATTCATCGGATATTCGGCCTATTGTTCTTCGGCGATTCAACTGCCCTTCTTATGGTGTCAGTCACCAGACGTGGCTGCCAAGGCAACGGCCAACATCAAGACAAACGCTCAGGTAATACGCCGTACCGGAAAGCACTGGAAGCTTATATCAGGCCTTGTGAGCTCTACTCAGACCACACCTAGCTGACTGTAAGATGAGCGAAAATTGACCGCGAAAGTAGGAGACGCATCTTCGTTCTCTCCGACGGTACCACGAAGTCAGCGGCTATTCCTTACAAGATGAACCTTGCAACGTGGATGCGGCAGAGCTGAATCGTTGTAGTGGCAGTTTCGACCGCACACGGACCTCTGTCCTTGGCCACAACGATATTATTTGGAAATACGGGCAAATGTCTGAATGCGGCGAGATTGTGAAACTGGAAGTTGACAGTGAAGTTGGTGGGCTTCAGGAAGACGGAGGTAAGCGATTCTGTTTCCCTGCTAGACATTGGATTCTGATGGACTGCGTAGGGCTCGCCTGTACTACTACAGACCTCCCTTCCTGGAACGACATCCCGATTGATGTGATGGATGACTTCTTGGCCCCATTCGGCATCCATGATGACCTAGAGAGCTTCCTGGCTGGTGGTTACCCGTATTGAGAAACCTACTTGTTGGTATTCAAAGACGAATATGACCAATGTACACCAAAAGTTCATCCATCATGGTGGCAAAGTTGGCGATTTAAATCCGAAAGCAACCTTTTCATTCAAAACCGAACGAAAATTCAAGAGCCTAAGGGTGTCGATAGTCAAATGATCCAAGACCTTCATGAGGAGATACCGCAGCAAAAGCTGGCAGGAATCGCGGAAGGCCTCATGGCTCGACTATACCGGATTCCGGAAACCACGGAGGGCAGTACTGAGTTATGGTACGCAGAAGCGGAAAATCACTAGAGTAAAAACTCGGCGCACTGATATGCGTTGCATTAATCTGCTTTGCGATGAAACCGCTCGCGTGTTAAGCTCTCCACATTACCTTGACCTGTCTACACCTAACACTTTGTGTACTCTATGCTCGACAAGCTTGTCAGAGATTGAATCACATGGCTTCAAAGAACTTCCGAGACCGTTTCCCGCCAAAAAGTGGCGGACAAGAGCGGCGTTGCGCCTGGCCATGACGCAAAGTTGTATCTGTGGCACTGAATATATCAGGCAAATAAATACCATCCGACCCGATCAGGAGGGAAACTTGCAGCATTCGGAACTCAGATTCAGACCGGACTTCTGAATATAAATTTTAAATATGCCATGGCCTTCTGAACACCTTTTGCAGGCTTATTTCCACCGATCAACAGCACCAGATTGGAGCCGGTGACCGTCTCATATGGCATGCAGACGTCTCATGCCCCCTATTTCCTTCCTTTTTTGGGCTACGCTTTCATCAATTTCATCTCTTTAGGACTTGAGACAGGGATTACGCAGCCATCATGGTCCTTTTTACAGCCAGTCGGGTGGGCGGACTTTGACAGCTCCATATCAGACGGAGTTGTGACAGACACGCGGGTTGAAACATGAAGAGCCTCGAAAAGCCCACGGGCTCCAATTTTCTGCCCGTCTTCCGAGCATTCTGACAGCAAACAGTGGCGCACTCAATCCGCAGGTATTGTCTCATGGGCCGGGTCCCCTGCTCCGTATACCAAATATGCGTGCCTTTGCCGACGCACCTGTTATAAATTTACAATGCTCGAGTTGTTCCTGCGGCTTGAGGGTGGTTCTATAGAGGATCTGCCGTGTCGTTGCTCATCTACTGGAACATAAATAAGGCACACACGTGAGCCACGACTTAAGGCTCTAGTGAAACGGCACCTGCTGACCTGGACTCGAGACGTAACGTGTGAGTCAAGGTGACTCGATTAATCGAGAACCGCAGCCTTGTCGGAACCTCGCGTGAGATTCTGGAGCATGAATCAGAACATGCGAAGGTGCCGAGAATAATCGACTTCTTGGCCAGCAGGGGGCATTGTCATGTGGTGGCGGACCGAGGGTCGAGGCGCGGAGAACCTTTTGCATGTAGGATTCTTTCCGACAATTATAAAAGAAGAAATCTACTCGTGTAGTTGGTGACATGAGCCTCACGGTGCAGGTAGATTCTATACCGTGGCCACGATTTCACTTTGCACATTTTTTGCGAACTGCTCCAACGGGTGTGTTGGAAACAAACGAAGTGGCTCCTGGAGAACAGAGATTCTCAAGTCAGTCAGAGGAGGCAAGATTGCCAGAGCGGCAGACATGCACGCATCTCCCCGGTCGGGGAACCAAAAGGCGGATGTATGTATTCTTCCTCGTGGCTGGGGTTGTAGCAACCTCACCTTGCGCAGTCCACTTTACCGTCGCAACCAGGTAAGAGATGTCTCTGTCGGCGGACCTGGTGGATATGTTCCGAAGCGAGTCTGAGACCTTCTACCTTCCTTTTATGGAGAACGACAGCACGAGGTAACTGGCAAGGCCTTGCTGTTGTGTAGTTGTTGACCGGCGTTCCTCGCCAATGTTGCGACTCGACTCTCAACAGTGTTACACGAGGACAAGGGCACCTGAAAATGAAGTCTTCTGGTTCCGATTCACATGTTTAGGAGTAGTTGACTCGTGTTATTTCATCATGCTTCATGACGGCCGCGTGGCGGCAATGATATCTGGGGCGTCTTCCATTTCTGCTTCGTCGTTGTCATTGCCAGGGATCGACTTGTTACTCGAGTGTCAGGCTGAGTCGAGCTGGCCTTGTTGACTTGCCTGATTCGGCACGATCTTCAAGTTCTAGAAGTTTACACCCACTCGTTGGCAAGCTGGATTTCGGTTCTTTGAACGAGTGACCGAGAGCCGTGAGCCATCTTGTAACGCTTGGCAGCTATAGATGGCATTGAATGTGAGACTTGTCTCTGACTGAGTCTACAGTCTGTAGCAGAATATATTTGCTTATTGAAAAGCATGCACTAATACATTAATGTGTAAAGTGTAATAACTGGTACTTTACGTATTTGAATGCTTTTTCCCTCCTACTATACTGTAACGTAATATATAATAATGTAAAGCGCGACAACCAGGTGCCTTCTGGTCAGATACTCCGTGCCTCCCACTGTATCTAATTCGGGAATCGAGGCTTCTTACAACTAAAAACTAATCAAAAGGGATGTTTTTTGTTGTTAGCTTGGTAGATTGAAGTTTATTGAACCAACACTTAATAGCTACCCAGATAACGTTGAGATAATTGATGAAGTCTTGCGGACAGGAACCATAGTTCGCAATGGACCTTTTCCAATCCACAGAATCAACTCTCCATGGATAACCTCGATTCAACGAAGCTTCGTTTATCGGGTCTCTAAACTGTAATTCTTCGAGATGTAAATGATCAGTCTCGGCCTCCGGAATTGTGTTACTTGGCCTTTTCGGCACCTTTAGGGAGTAGTTTACCAGCTTCCTTGGTGCTGCGTTGCCACTATGCAGCCCCAATTACGCTGGTGTGTCTGAAGCGTCATGAATCTCATGTTGCGCAGATGGTTTATTTTCTTCGTCTCTTACTGTTCTTCGCTTGGTACGACCCAATACTGTGTTACCGGATGTAGGGCTTGCACGATACCTGTATCACGCTTAATATTATATTATTTGACTTGAGAGGGAAACAATAAACAACTGAATTACTAAATGATCAGTCGACTAGATGCGGCCTCGCATGAATTGATCCTCCCAGAGCATGTGTGCCGAGACTCGGTTTAAAATTGCATTGATATCCGAATCACTAACTGCTTCCTCCGGTGGGATACTTATCAAAGACAAATGACAAATGGAAAATACGCCACTGGCATGTCATGTCCAAGGTATTTCCCGACGATTTTGTATTGTCAGAGGAGTCATATATGGAAGAATTGCTACCGAGCACATTTCCGGGCACAGAACCAGGTTTGCACCGTGATGTGATCGCATATCTGCTTAATGGGGAGGAGTACCCTTGATTTTTACTTTTATTTCATTTATTTTACAACTGGGATACGTCGTTTATGAGCCCCTGAGCAAAGCAGCCAGGCAATTTCCAGTCTATTTGCGGAAACTTGCGAAACATGGCAATTGCGTCACCGACTAGCTCACGATATATGTACCGTAACATGATGTATACAAGACCAAAGCTGCCCCGTTGAGTCCCAAGACCGGAGGTGATTCCGTACGTCCCTCGCGATGACTTTCCAGCCAAACTAGGACCAGAACTCGAGGGCGAGTTGCATCCTGGCTAGGATTGAAAAGGCTGAGTCGCTGCGAGAATGGTAAAACAAGAGGGGAGGTCAATAGTCATGCGTCGTAAGGCACCTTGGCTGGGAAAACATGCCTCCAAGCAGACGCAATCATGCCCCAGCGGATCAATGGCATAATGATGGTGAGGCTAAACAGGACTCGGCATCGTCCAAGCATTTACACCGAGATCATTCCCAGCTCGACAAGCCGCCATGCTGTTACTCCTGAAACATCAGAGCGATGCCAAAAATAATAATAATAATAATAACCATAACCCACGGATACTCACATATGTAGTTGCTGAATGGGCTGAAACGCAGAGGCTGGCGAAGCTTGGGGGTCAAGAAGCCAAGACTACATCATGGCGGCATGAAACATCCTCGTGGCGACCAGATGGGTTTTAACAAGGGGACTTGGATGAACGCATCATCAAGACAAGACAAGGGCTTCTTGGTTTGTCAATGTTTGGATCATCATAGGTTGGGCCCCCCAATGCAAAGCGCATGGCGAGGAGTCCTCCATTCTAGATGATGGCGAATGCATAAATCGGGACACCGAGTCTCCGACCATCCGGCCAGTGACCCCCAAGAGCCTGGCGCCAGAAGCATCAACTTTGTGATGGGTTTTTTAATTACAGGCGGAAGAGCATTGACAGACGTAACGTTGTATGTGGTGTCTGTGTCCCGGCTCACGGCTCATCTCACAACTCACAACTCACAAGCTCACCCCTCACCCCTCACCTCGGTCGTAAGATGATGCCCTAGCTTACGTAACCAACGACCCAAGAGTGTCTTGACATCTTCCGCACCTGCTCACCCGTGTTCGCATCGAGACCTGTCATCATTTTCCTTGTACATACATACTCGGTCGCAATCAAGGGCTTCTGCTCTATCATCAAGAGCAACGAACATCCTTGCTGCCTTGCCTGCCATGTCCAGAGTCTCTCGGAATCATGGAGCCATCACGGGCCCCCTGATCGTGTGACCATCAGCATTGACGGACTACGAGACGAATTAATTTGACGACGGAAAACTAATACTACGCATCTTCGTTCGTGCCTGGAGAGCAGCTGCCAAGGGGGGGGGATCGACAACATTCGTGACGATGTGAGAGGTTTCATCGTCGCCTGCGAAACCCTAGTTTCCCAGTTTTGACTGACGCCTCCTGTCGCAAGTCCAAATTGGAGCTGTCACGGATCGACCCCATCCCCAACCCAGCCGCAAACGGCCACGCCAAACCGCCAGGCGCGCCAGAAAGGGCGAGCGCACTCCTCGTCGAATTCGGTCCTCCGGCAGCAATTCACCTCGGAGTATTGGGGGTGGCAATGCCCTCGACGAGTGTCAAAGTTTCATCCGACTGGTGTCGGGGGGCCTATTCACATCAGACCAGCCGAAACACACACAGATGATGGATGTGCATATGGGCTCGATCAAGTTATTTAAGGCCGCGACGGCCCGATCCCAAAAACGCTCCGGCTGGAATCCTATTCACACTTGCTTCATCCCGAAGAATATCTGGCAATAGTCGACCTGGAGTCGATTCGTTCCTTTCGTCTTACTTTTTATTATTATAATTTTTCACCTTGTCATTAATAGCACCACGAGCTGCCATTACTCCATTCTCTAAAAATATTTTTAATTCAATTTTAGACAATTTCTTTGCCAGTCGTAAAGATGGTTCGCCTGACTGTTATCTCTCTTCTTACCTGTAAGTTTCGCAACATGACTATATATATTACATTTCAGCGCTGGCAACTGACTCTTTACCCGCCTAGTGGCCGTGACGGCTTATGCCGCACTTGACCCTTCCGAGTTGAAAAACGTCGGTCAGGGGAACGGCAAGCAGTTCATCACTGGTAAATGCCTTAGCAATGCTGATTGCTCGACCAACTGCTGCGCCGGGAAAAACGGCGGCGGTGTCTGTTCTGCCGTTGCCGTCGCCAACGCTGACGGCAAGACTGGTTGCGGATTTGGGGGCGGCAACGGAGTTGGTGGTGGGCAGGGTAATGGAGGCAACGCTGGTAATAACGGAGGCAACGCTGGCAACAACGGAGGCAACGCCGGCAATGGAGGTAACCAGGGCGTCCCTACGGGTGACGGGGCGGGAAACTTCGGTAACGGAGCCGGCAAGCAGTTTATTACTGGCGTATGCGCCAGCGATGCTGATTGCGCGTCTACGTGCTGCGCCAAGACGACCAAAGCCTGTGCTGCCATAGGCGCTGTTGGCGCGCAAAACTGCGGATTCGTCGCCTAGAGAGAGCAACAGGGTCGTTACAGGCGACAATAACCGAGGCGGATGGGGTGGCCAAGGCGTTTATAATGAGGCTTCTCAGTAAACATACTTGGGTGATTCCAAAGTTCGCTGGCGCCATGCTGTACCTGGAGGAAAGGCGGCCGGCTGAATTGTACACTTGGGGCAAAGCCGAGTCCCATGCTCAAGGATGCCAAGGAGCCGTATCACATATTTCTATCTAGACCGTGGAACAGTACGAATATATCGTGTTAAACAAGGCCCGACTAGTAGTTGGTTCACGTGTGATGAAGGAAGATGCTCCTCAGTCGAGTCTTGAAGCTGCTCTTGACTCCCATGGCCACCGAAAGCGATATAGGGGTTGTCGTCGCGCAATATTGATGATGCAGTCACACATACGGTCCGGGCGCCTCCAGGCTCAAAAGCCATTCGGGGCCGCAGTGCCGGAATCCAGGGACTGCATATGTAGCAAGGTCGGAGGACGGTCGGCATTCGTTCCCGATTCGGCACACGTATTGACATGCTTTAGATCCGCCGCTTGCCGGGTTGTGTGGAACTTAGAACCGGTCCCAATTTGATCACCGAATAACTGCATCGCGAAAACACACATGGCATGCTGATTGCAGGCCTGACCACGCCCTCCCTTGCTTACATATATATGCTTGGAAGAGCAAAGGCTAAAATCCACACGACCTTCCCGATCGGTACTGGCCAACTGTTGACGAGGATGACCATTGACCAGGGGGCGCTGGGATCTTGATCTGCTAGTACCAGACTACGACAATGCCATTTGCCAGCAGTTCATCCTATCGATGCGAGCTGGACGGTTGTGCGCTTTGACGGCATCTCGGTGCCACAAGATGTACACAGGGCCCGGGGGGCTCGGCTGAGATCTGGGAAATCGGCCCATCTGGTTTCTTTCTTCCAATGCTGGTCCAAGTCCAAAATTGTCGCATCACACGTCTGCCTCAGTCCGGCCCCAAGACGCTCCGGTGGCACAGAAAAACGACTCCACGGCCTCATAAGGAGAGGAGCAGCTCTCCCTCCGCCTGCTCCAACCTCAGCTCGACCGACCGAGGCCGCAACCAAGACACGTCAACCGCATCTCAGAGCTTCAACATGGGCCGTCGCTTACTTTGACCAAGTGGAGAGAGAGGCCATCCCTTCGGAGGGTCGGAGAGGGCCGCTTCATCCCCAGACTAACGCCGCCAGGGGAAGCTGGCCACTGGGGCGCCGATCCACGACCACGACAACTCTTGACCTTCCAAGATGCGCAACCTGAGCCGGCTCCCCACCCTCACATGGCATAGATAAGGACCTCTGAGTGGTGGGAGTTTGGCGGTCTCACATCACCGGGGGCAGGAGGCGTCGGACAAGACTATATGATGTATTGTGTTGGTGTTCAGAGTTGGACTTGGCAGCGCCTACCGAGCTGACGTTAGCATGGCCAAATTGAATTTCGATTTCAAGGGCCGCGCACCAAGATCGACAGTTGCCATTCTAAGAATGGATTCGGTGACACAGGATTCTGTGTATCTGAACTTGGTGTCGGTGCTTCTCTCGGCCGACTGTGGAAGAGGTCTCGTGTTATAAGAACAACGCCGGACCCCCCATCGAGTCCGACTTGTGGCATCTGTGCTCGTTGGCAGAGTTTATTATACGGTTTTGCAGCTGGTCCCTCTTTGCCGTCTTTGCCTCGAGTCGTTTATATTTATACTCATCATCCATTGCTCGGCATCCGTCAAAATGCACTTCCCCATCGTCAGCCTCTTGTCCCTGGTTGCCCTGGTCAGCGCCGCGCCTGCAAACCTCCAGGCTCGAGATGCTACCAACTGCGGCGGCGTCCAATACACCGCTGGTGCTGTCCAGGACGCTGCTGATGCTGCTTGCGACTATGTCCAGAGCGGCAGCCATGCCGGATCGTCGACTTACCCTCATCGATACAACAACTACGAGGACTTCAACTTCCCCGTCGCCGGCCCCTACAACGAGTTCCCCATCCTCAAGTCTGGCCAAATCTACTCTGGTGGTATGTCTTGAGGCCGTACCAAATACTCTGTTCCATCTCGTCTTGAGGGTTATCTACTGACTTGCTTGACAGGCTCCCCCGGCCCTGACCGCGTTGTCATTTCTAATAGTTGCGACCTTGCTGGCGTCATCACCCACACTGGTGCTTCTGGAAACAACTTTGTCGGCTGCTCCGGCACTTCGTAAACGTTTTTATGTTTTCTTTCTTTCTTACTGGGCGAAACCGAGGTTCTGTGGTGTGAGACAGGTGTCAACTGCTGCTACCACTTGGTCTTCTTGATCTGTACATATGTCCTCTGACAAGGGCCGGGATTCCTTGATGTACATGAACGCATCAATTTGAATAAACAGTATATTTTGAGCAAGACTCGTCGAATCGACCATCAATATGTCTGAGGAACGCAGCGCATCCCCGTGGTGCCCAGCAGTATGCTATGCTCCAAGACAAGTCGTCGAATGATGGAAGCCAGTCACCGCAACTCCCAAATTACCCCTTTCGGCATGTTCCACCACCATGCATACAGGCATACATACATACATCAAGCAGGGGTGAGCGGAGGCTTACAAAGCCGATGTGCAAGCAATTCCAGCTGCCCTTTTCGTAGAGCCGTCAATAACGTACAGACAGGCAGAGACGTATGGCGGTATCGTCATCAAGTGTCATCAACTTTTCGCACGGGCACCTGCCTAACCCAGATTGTTGAGAATTACCGACAAAACCCCCGACATGGACGACATGGATTGATTGTTCATGGGGCAATGCAGGTGAGCAGTGGCGCAAAAAATGCACATGTAACACAAAGCTCACAATACACCAGCAGCTCTGAGTTCATGGCCTGGATATTGGCTGTGTTGCTATCCGCGGAGCTGGGCCGTCTTTACTTCTTGTCGCGGCCCGTATCGGCACAGAGGGAAAGCAAAGCAAGAATATTGATGCCACGTTGCGGTGTCCAATTTCTCGAATTTTGCAAAAAGTCGGCCGTCGCAGTTATAGCCACATGAATCCCGAGGGATGTGCCACTACCCTGTACTTCCTAATCTGGAAACCATGTGAATTTCTTGGCAGCATCATGGGTGAGAACCATGAACATATATATTGTATATGAGCCACATACAACTCCGTAACAAGCTTCCCCTTTAAGATTCGCGAGAGCCGTGAAGCACCTCATGCCTCATAAACAACTGCCTCACGTGCCGTGACGCGGTCTCTGGCTGTGGCACCCAACAAATTCCGTGTCCCGCCCTGCACAAGCCCCAAAGCGGCCGGAATGATGGTGTCGGGCAGAAACATTGGTCACGGGAAAAGGAGCACCTTGGCTTTTTAATGTCGCTAAATCATGTCAGGCCGTCCCCACAAGTTTTCCCAGGCAATAGCCGTAGCTGTTGGCGTTGGTGCTACCAGTTGGCCAGTTGACCAGTTGGGTGAAGCCGGTGGTCTGACCAGAAATAACATTGAAATTTCGAGGCTGCCTAACAGCAAACTCCGGATCCAGTGGTCGCGTTCCCCGTTCCTCGTTACCCTGGGCACCAGGCTGCGAAATTAGCTTCTCAGAAAAAAACCACTGCGAGGTCGGCCGTTCGCAATTTCCCACCTTTTTATTTAATTGTCGGCTGTTTCTTCAACACGCGGCCGGCTCACGACTCGCCACCTGCTTGCTTGCCGTCCTGTCAAACTCGTCGCGGGGCCTCCGGAAACAGCAGCCATGCCTGAGATTGTGAGTCTCTCGCGTCGCGAACCTGCCGTGCTCCTTAACTAACCTATGACGTAATTGTCGATCCATAGGTTCATCTTCAAGTCGGCCAGTGTGTAAGCCAGGGCCTCCAGAGTCAACTTCTGTTGAATCTCATCTAACGCCATGCAGGGCAATCAAGTCGGCACCGCCTTCTGGCAGACAATCCTGGGCGAACATGGCTTGGACAACAATGGACTGTACGTGATTCGCACATGTCTCCATTAGCTGGTCGGCCAGCAGGAACGCTAACCTGTCATGCCCTGCCTAGGTATACCGGTGATTCTCGAGTTCAGCTTGACCGTGTAAATGTCTACTTTAACGAAGTATGCAGTATGACACTTGCCCCCATCACGCTCCCAAAAAGTGCACATCCTGACGCGCCATTTCTCACGTTAGGCGTCGGAGAAGAAGTATGTTCCACGCGCCGTGCTCGTTGACCTGGAGCCTGGTACCATGGATGCCGTTCGAGCTGGGCCGTTGGGCAGACTCTTCCGCCCAGATAATTTTGTTTTCGGACAGTCATCTGCTGCCAACAACTGGGCCAAGGGTCACTACACCGAAGGCGCAGAGCTGGTTGAAGAAGTAGTCGACGTCGTCCGTCGTGAGTCTGAGAGCTGTGACTGTCTTCAGGGTTTCCAGATTACCCACTCCCTTGGCGGTGGTACTGGTTCCGGAATGGGCACTCTGTTGTTATCCAAGATCCGAGAAGGTATTGAGTGACCCATCATTATGGCCGGATGGCTCGACGCATCGGGGCGCCGCTAACGATTCGGTTGTACAGAGTTCCCTGATCGCATGATGGCCACATTCAGTGTGGTGCCGTCTGCTCAAACGTCCGATACCGTCGTGGAGCCGTACAACACTACTCTGTCGATTCACCAACTGGTTGAAAACTCGGACGCCACGTTTTGCATCGACAACCAAGCTTTGTACGATATATGCCAACGAACGCTCAAGCTCTCAAACCCGTCAACTGGTGACCTCAACCACCTGATCTCGACAGTCATGTCTGGAATATCTACTTCTCTGCGGTTCCCAGGCCAACTGAACTCTGATTTAAGAAAGATTTGTGTCAACTTGGTGAGTCCGGTCTGTGGTGTCTGTAGTATGTTCAAACAGGCAGAGCGGTATCTTGAACAAGATTCACGAATCACAGCCCTGTATTGTTCGTCCCGCTTCTCGAAACTGTAAATTGACGTTTCGTTATTCCTAGGTTCCGTTTCCACGTCTTCACTTCTTCATGGTGGGCTTTGCTCCCCTTACAGCTCGGGGCAGCCATGCATTCCGATCTGTCACGGTGCCCGACTTAACACAGCAGATGCTAGACCCTCGAAACATGATGGCGCAATCTGACTTCCGTAATGGCCGCTTTCTGACATGCTCGGCCATGTTCCGTGGCAAGCTCTCCGGTAAGGAAGTGGAAGAGCAAATGCGTAAAGCCCAGGACAAGAATTCCACATATTTCGTGGATTGGATCCCAAATAATGTTCAAACATCGCTGTGTACCGTGCCGCCAAAGGGTTTGAAGATGGCATCCACATTCATCGGAAATTCTACTGCTATCCAGGATATCTTCAAGCGGGTCGGGGACCAGTTTGCCGCCATGTTTCGTCGCAAGGCATACCTACACTGGTATACCGGCGAAGGTATGGACGAGATGGAATTTACCGAGGCTGAGTCGAATATGAATGACTTGATTTCCGAGTATCAACAGTATCAGGATGCCACTGCGGATGATGATCAGGAAGAAGATTATGATGAGGCCCCCCCTGCTGAGGAGCATCTGCATCAAGAGTGAGGCGGAGGGACAGAGGATGGACAAAATGTAGGCAAAAACAGGTGATTGATTAGTTACATCGATTTTTTGCGTTGGTCATGTCGAAAATACTGCAGCAAAATGTTGTAATGACAATATGCGCTTGCAGTATTTTAAAGTGTTCCTTTCACAACTGGCAACCAAGGCTGGGATAGTTGCGCGTTTTTTTTTTGGCGATGAAAGACGCTCCGGAAGCCAACCACAAATTGCCTTTGGCTCTGTGGGAGCGATAACCTTGGCACTGAGGAGCTTGGGTTTCGATGTATGATTGACGTAAAAAAAAGTCAATAAATACCCGCAATATTCTACATTCATTAGTATGACCATTTATGTTCGCCGGCCGGCACCAAACTTGCCGAAAAATATATCCCTACCAATGATCCTAGTGATCTAGACGTGCCCCTAGTGTCTTTCTCCGCAATCCTCGTATGTATGTGTGTCGATTATCATCTTCTGGCAGGGCTTGCGTGTTATGTAATTGGTCGTCAGATTCATCATCACTTCGCTGTGGGCTTTCATTTGCTGTTTCCCACGTAGTTGAGCGCGAGGCCAAACACGGCCAACACCCTGCCTCCACTAGACTTTCTTGCTGTTCTGCTGCATGAGGAGCATGCTTAAATATGCTGAGTAGTTCCTCAAATGCCAGAGTCAACTTGTCCGCCCCATTGGGACGTTCCTGAATCACTTTGCTGAAGTCACTTAATGTGAATTTCTCGTCATATTTGAGGCGAAAATGATTCGTGTTCGCCAATATACCAATTGTTTCGAGGTCTCCATACTTGGCTGTAATTTCGAGAAGATGCGGTCCTTTGAGTCGAGGACGTATTGAATAGTGGTGCCACCGCTCAAGAAAAAGCCTCAGGACATGGTGACTATTAGGCGTGATTGCAATAGTTAATGGTGTATCTCCAGTGATGGTAGTTTTGTTGATTTCAGCACCATACTCCAGAAGAAGTATTGCTAGAGAAGCATCATTATTTTGCGCGGCATGGCAAAGGGCTGTCTTGCCGTCTACCCCGAATTGATCAACCTCGGCTCCAAAATCCAAGAGAAGTTTAACAAGAATCGGATCATTAGATCTTCGGGCAGCAACATTTAAAGGTCCGCCCTTGTTGATACCGCCCGGACGTGGAGGGTCAGGATTTGCACCTGCATCAAGCAGGAGTTTTACACAAGCCGTATGACCCTGGGCTGAAGCATTCGACAACGGGCCAGATATCTGGGAGTCCATTATGTTCGGATCAGCGCCATATCTGAGCAAGGTCAAAATGGAATGGCTATCCCCCTGGGCGGCAGCCCACGCCAAGGCTGTGCGGCCCATCGAATCTTGCGTGTTGATTTCACCAGGATGAGAAATTAGTTCTCGCTCCAAATCGCCGATTGAGAGACCGAGAATGATTCGATGCGTTTGAGTAAAACTTGACTCCACTATGAAATCATCGAGATACTCGCTGCCGTTTGTGATGCCACGAAGAGCCCCAACAGTGAACTCGGAAAGATTACCTTCCAGAAGGGAATGACATGCCTTAATACGTGGGCTATTATCAAATGCGCCAAGTGGTTTGTAGTCGACATCAGCGCCTGCTTGTATCAAGAATTTGCAAGTCTCATACTGTTTACCGTATAATGTCCATCGTAAAATAGAATAGCCATGTGTAGTACTTACATCACGTGGTGACGCCAATCCGTGGCGAAACAAAAACTTCAATCCGTCTATGTTTCCATTCAGAGCAAAATTGACGCACTGTGCATTGTCGGGAACTCCCCTCAAGGTACGAAGCTGCAAGGAAGGCCCTGTTGTTTGATGGTACGAGAGTTCCATTTGTATAATATTAGACCAGAAGTTAGCTGGAAACCAGTATTCCACATTGAATTTGCTCGACCGAGAGGCTTGACAAACGGCATTGTCACATTTTGGGCTTAAAACTGGCAATCCTGTATAACCAACAAATAAGCGACCCAGCAAGTTGCTCAAAAATTCTGGTGACGAGGAGCGCTTGAGAATGTGGCAAGAGCAGTGGCAGCGTCTCCTACATGTGTTTTCAAACGGAGTGACACAAATCCCAAGGTCAAAGTCAGCTTGCGGTGAGCTAATAGAAATTATGCCAGGCACCGCTGATCGCCTCTTTGTCTGTCTTTCGGTTCCATATGCGGACTTGACTTGGGTATACTGGTTCATTTGCAGTCTTCGTGATTGTTCTTGCAACATCTCTTCTACCCTTGCAATACGGTCTTCAATCCCCGTCAGAGTGGCCACGAATTTCTCGTTTGTGACAATTTGCATTCGAGATGCTTGGGTCGTCGTGGCAAATGTTGTCTGAATGTCGACCCAAATTCTGAGCAAATCCTCGCTACTTCGCGGTTAGTCCCACTGGTAACAATCAAGAGAAGTTTGAGGTACAAGCTCATAGGAATTTTCTGCGCCCAACATAATATTGAGGCTGCTCTTAACAGTCCGTATATTATCCTGCAGCTCCTTCAAGCGCTCCTGGTCCTTCCGCTAAGCATGCATCAAACGAGGTGGTGTTTTCGATGTCAAGTAAATACGACTCAAATTGTTGATAATGCTTTCAAATCCGTTCAACTTTAATCTGGCTTGCTTCAACTGAGGTGGCACTGCTGAATACTTTGACCTCGACAGAAAGACGCGGTCTTGTATCAGGTTGTTGACCTGCAAAAGCACAAGCTCAAGATCTGCCACTTCGTTGCGAACAGCGGGAATTCTGCCAGGTAGAGTTTTGCAGAGGGGCCGCAAGTCTGAAATGGACGAGCATATTTTTGACGAAAAAGTGACTAGTATGCCAATAATATTAGCAGCCAACGAGATAGGATCCATGATCAGGACAGCCGGTGATCTCTGCGCTTTGCTGGAATACCGGACGTTGAAAGGACACAACGGAGATGGCTCAACAGACACGCAGGGAAAGCGGGCCTTCCCCTCCTTCCAAAGTTGGAAGCCATTCTGTTACCATTCACACAAGGCGTGGCCGACCAAACATTTCCCCGAAACGACATCATTTAGGAGATTGGCTTGTTACTTCTCGGGCACACATTCCTAAAAATACCGGGAGATTTTCGGCCATAGGTACTTATTGACCTCCTGCGCGATGAAATTCGGTCTGTATTTCCACCAACCGCTCATCCCAAGATGGGACGCATACTACGTTGACTACAATGGCTTGCGCCGGAAGATTAGAGACTCGGCCCGTAAAATTGGCGCTGTTGACGACCTAGGCAAGATTCCTGGATATACAATCTCTTGCATATTCTAACTGTTAAGTTCAGAGGTGTCTAAATACCTTGAGGCCAATATGCATCCATTGAGACTTATACGTTGAGACTATTGCAGTCAATTACTTCTCACGAAAGCGAAATACGCTCCAAATTTGGCCTGCCTCAGAACCCTATCGCTTTACCAAACATTTAAAGCGCCCATGGGCTCGAATTTCAGATTGTTCGAGCTGCTTATGAAGACATACTGTCAGGACTAAAAGATCTTCGATGGTTCAACAGGGTCAATAACACGGCAATTGAGAGGATTTTCGCCAAGATTGGCAATTATAAATACGAAAAAAGTACTTTCAATCTTTGCCATTCCCGCTGGGCTGCTGTGCAGCAGAGCATAGATGAATCTTGGGCTGAAGCATTTGGAAGAGTGAATAGGCTGAGGGCTCGTGTCCGAAATGCGCCAACTACTCACCCAACCTAGACTTGAAGCGCCCTCTTGGTGCATTACTGCTCTGCTCGGCGGTCGTACTACAACTCAGAATATGCATGATCAGTTGCACGGCTATTTCAAGAATGATCAACGCTCTCTTGTAGAGAAACATAATCTTTCAGAAACAACCAGAGACATCACCAGGAGGGGCGATAGCAGTTCGCTCGTTGGCGACGTCTTTCTTACTTGTAATTTATTCGGCAAATAATATCGCAACCCTCACTCTCGAAGTGATGATGCTTGAAGGAAGCAGCGCAAGCCAAACGTTTGCCTTTGTGAAAATATACGGCGTGGCTTCACGGATTTGCTTTTACCAGCTGCGTACCGAGCATTTAAACTTTGCCAGTGATCAGTTTGCAAGGTTGTTTAAAGCACTTGGCCCGAAAACGATGGACGTTTTACAAAAGAAAGATGCCCAAGGGTGTCATCTTCTGCACTACGCGGCTCAATATGGCCTAGACTCGATTTGCGAGGCTATAGTATCTTATTTGATCACTATAGGCGGAAGTTGTGCTCAGGATACACTAATACCCGTCGACCTTTGTGGGAAAACACCGCTCCACTGCGCAGTGGCATCAGGGAAGTTATCAGTGCTTGGAATTTTACTTAGAGCATTATCGGGGATTGGTATCCACGAACAGGCAATGTCTAAAGCTCGAGTTGCTCTCGGAAGTATCCTGGTTTTTGCAATAAGAGCACATGCCGAGGCAATGGCAAAGATTTTGCTGGAGCATAAACCGAATCTCCTCTACCAGTCTTGTCGTGGCGAGACGGCTCTCTACTGTGCTTCAGAGGCAGGAGACCTGTCTATGGCTGACCTTCTTGTACGACAATCATCCAAGGGCGAATATGGGATTGATGTCGCTGAGGAGACAAGAGGATGGACACCACTAATAGCAGCATGTTCTAATGGACATGTAGAAATTACCAGGCTTCTATTGCAGGCTGGTGCCAAACCAGACACCCCTGATATTCGAGGATGGACAGCTCTGGAGCACGCCATATTTGGAGGACATCACGACCTTGCTGAGACGTTTCTAGACAAGGAAACTCCCGCTCCTGCCAGTACTGTCTTGCTAAGCTATGTTGTCGCCAAACCATTCCCAAGCTTGCAAAAACCCAGTACCAGCAATCAACACAGACCTGAAAACACTTTCGTTCAACTTGTTGGGCATAGAGGAACGTTGATTGCTCATGGGTCCTTCTCGTAGTAATACTAAAGTAATACTAATAGAAGGGACTCTAGTATGCGGACAGAATGCATTAAGTCGGTCATTTCTCTAACTTGGAGAAAATACGATCACGGTATGTCGAACAAAAGTTCCGACTCAGAGGTTAGTGTACTGACATTATTGTCAGTCGTTCCTGTCCGCTGCAAAACTGGGAGCGTCATTTGTTGAGGCAGGACAATCTTTTCACTAACCAAGAGCAAAAACTAACGGACTGCAGTTCGGTAAAGAGACCCCTTAGCCAGAAGTCGCATAAACTCTAATAATTCGGTAGATCTACAGGTAACCCGGGATATGGAGGCTGTCGTATATCAAGATTTCTCCCTTAGTGAGTTCGGCACATATGTACCCATTCACGACCTCACCCTCGCGCAGTATCAACATGTTGGCAGTACCCATGAACCGCATAGCTCAGCTTTGTACAACTCGGTAGAGAGCTCCGAGTCTTTGACTTATCCTATGAAGAGGCCACGTGCCTGGTATTCCGGGGAAGAATCCTTGTCTAAATCGATAGAGCTGCGAAAGAGACTGGAATATACTGTGCACTTTCAGGCCCAGAGGCTCAAGCCGAACAGCCGCGGTGACGTTGTTCAAGATTCCCTAGCAACCCTGGAAGAGCTCCTGGTGAAGCTTCCTGCAGAGATTGGCTTTAATATAGAAATAAGTATGTGGACACAATCTCTACAGGAAATCCAGAGTAATTCTAATCAGTTGGCAAGAATACCCACGCTTACACGAAGCGGCCTCAGCTGGAGTCGCTCCAGTGGCCATTAAAATTAACGACTTCATCGACGCGGCTCTCAGCGCCGTTCGAAAATTTGGCGGAAAACGGCAAATCGTCCTTTCATCTTTTACTCCCGAAACGTGCATTCTTCTCTCTGTCAAGCAATCAGCGTACCCGGTCATGTTCATCACGAACGCAGGTAAAGTGCCCATGCAAGATCAGGAGCTGAGGGCTGCAAGCCTACAAACAGCCGTGCATTTCGCCCGTTTGCGGAATCTAAGTGGGCTTGTTTTTGCCTGCGAAACCTTCCTCCACTGCTCGAGACTTGTTCAGTTCGTGAAGAATACGGGCCTAATATGTGCTCCGTACGGGTTGTTGAACAGTGATCCTGCAAATGCAATAGTAAGTCCCTCTTCATGTGACACTTGGCCTAATAATCTGCTGACATTGGAGTGTTGGATAGGCACAGACGGCAGCCGGTATCGATATCTTGATGGCAGACAGAGTCAAACTCATCGCAGAAAGCTTCATTAATACTTTTCAGACCGGGCAAGAACGGCATTACATCCAAATGTATGGGAGGTAGATGAAATGAAAATTCTAAGATGTATCGTCTATCTAAATCTAGTTACAAAGTACAGTAATATTCAAATATATACGTTAATTCTCCTCAGTGCAGGACGAGTCGCGGAGTTCCATCTCAACCTGGGAGCCTTTCCAGGCGAACAAAGCGCAAAGCACGGGGATAAGCGCCGCCAAAATCATGCCACAGCCAAGAAAGCCAGCCGTGACGCCAAAGCCAATATGGAACGCCGGGCTGTTGTCCTTGGGCCAGATACGGCTTCCGTAGACACTGGAAAAGTTTCCAAATGCATTGACCAGCGCAAGAACAATCGCGCGCTTCTCCGGCGGCAAACTGACCGTGTTGCTGGTCCACGACAAAATGAGCGGCAGCGCCGACCATATGCCCGCCGCCACGAAGCACACCATGACGTAGCGAACGATCGAAGTTTGCACGGCGGCACACACTACACTGCAGGCAAAGCCTAGCCCAAGAGCGCCCGTAATGTGCCAGCGTCTATCGCCGGTGCGATCGGATGACCAGGCGAGAATGTTGAGGCAAACAGCCGCAACAACATAGATTGGCACCGTCATGTATTGCGCTTTGGTGCTGTCTTTGTACATAGTTTGGCTAATAGTAGGAATAAAATATGAGATGGCTAAGGGATTATTAGCGCTTCTTTCGCTTTTGTGTGTGTGTGTGTGAGGGAGAGAGAAATCGAAAACAGGGGCAAACTTACTACCAGCACCAACATCCAGCATATACAGGATGAGGAACATGTACGTTCTGGGATCCGTAACCGCGGCTACAAACGCCTGCCAATGACTCAAACGCTTGTCCGAATGGCCTCCCGTCGCAATGCCGTCGTGAATAATCCGAATGGCAGCCAGCTTGCGCTCCTCTGGCGTCAGCCGCTTCGACGTGCCGGGATAGTCAAGCAGGACGAAGAAGGCAACGAAGGCCACGCCAACAGTCGCGACTCCCTCTACAATAAACAGCCAGCGCCAGCCGGCAATGCCATGTGCGTCATGCATATGATCAGTAATGGCACCGGCCAAAATCCCGCCAAAGGCACCCGACAACACAGCAGCTGTGTAAAAGATGCCAAATCTCTTGCCTAGAAGGTGTTAGCGTGCTAGACCACTCTCTTTTCTTTCTTTTTTTTTTTTTTCAAACACCAGCTTCAAAAGACTCGGAGAGGACGCCACGTACCTAGCTCTGCCTTGGTGTACCAGCAACTGAGGTAGTACAGGACACCGGGGAAAAATCCAGACTCGATGCACCCCAGCACGAAACGGAAGCCCAGTAGAACGCCGTACGTTTTGGAGATGGACATTAATGCGCTCAGTGCGCCCCAGACGAGCATGATGGCTGGCAGGAACATGGAAGGTTTGCTCCGGCTGAGAATCATGTTTGAAGGGACCTCGCAGATGAGGTAGCCGAAGAAGAAAACGGATAGAACCCAGGCGTAGCGGTTGTCGTCGAGATCAAGATCTACCGCCATGCCGGCGATTTTGGCATTGCCCTGGGCTGGGGGTTAGTCGAGGCGGCAACATGTACATGCGTTGCCACGTCGTGGAGCCGGAGGGGGGACAAACTCACAATGTTGGTCCGGTCGACATAATTGAGAATGTACATGATCCAAAGAATGGGCATGAGGAACAAGTCAATCTTCCTCACGAGCTTCTTCTCCTCGGCCGAATGAGGCACGTAACGGCGCAGTGCCTCTGCCAGCTCAGGCTCGGTGCTGACCACGGGAGACATCTTCTCCCTCACGTCATCGTACGAGTGGGTTTTGTCGCCGCCCGCCATTTGCGCTTCGCACTCGGGCAAAATGTCTCTGGCGGCTATCCAAGCAGTCAACTGGTGCTACAGAGACGCGCATGGGGGCCGGGATTGCCAGTCCAAGGGGAACAGTCGACTTTAAGACGATGCTGGAACAAGGCATCGGGCCGTACCACGACCAGGCTCGTTGCCGGTTAGGATGGCACGATGAGTCGTCTGTCTTCTTCCCCCATGGGGCAGCTGCGAGTTGTCGAGAAACCGACGCCACGGCGCTGAGTTTGGCTTAGTCGTCGCACGTTGGCAGGTGTTCTGTTGTAATATGGAGAACAAGCCGTGTCTGATGTCGGAGGTTCCAGGTCAGCAAGCGGCACGGCTGGGACCGCAGAGAAGCCATTGGCCTCGTGTTGCTGATTTGACCCACTTCTTCCCACGCACCTGCTTACTCATTGGTCGGATGGGACGCCAGAATCGGGAACCGGGAATCCAGAATTGAGCATCTACAAAACCGTTATCAAATATGACAGAGTACGGTGCTTGGCTAACCGCTTCCCTGCACGGGTATTACGTTTGCACGCGGCATCTTCAAAACCGTCATGGCCGCCAAGATCCGACCTCTTCGCTCACAACCTTGTCAAGAGTCACGCGGACCCCGCGTTGGATCTCCAATGCATGGCCGTTGCTAATAGTACAATGCCATCTTGTTGTCTACCTTGTCAAGTACCTAAGGTATACCGGCTCAATCTCCATTCTCGCCATCAATATTGTGTACAATATTACAAAAGACGTACATGATGAGGGATATTCTGGCATCATCAATACGCCCGGAGAAAAACGCCCGGCAATTGCCAAGCATCATCCCGGCATTTGTGAGCTCAGAGCGTCCAAAAAGCTAAGCCCATACTGTTGGTCCTGGTCCGACCCAAACTGGTTCGGCACGTTTGCAGTGCCAAACATCCAGCTGTTCCAATCGGGCCACGCTCCACCATCAGCATATGACACCGGCACGGGTTGTCCATTCTGAACCTGCTGCTTTTCCATTGCGTTGTGTTCTTTGAACTTCTGGAGCATGCCGTTGAGCCCGCGACCGAGGTAGTGCGCGACATGGCGGACGCAAGGGCTGGTCTCCTCTAAAAGTATGATGATGCCTTCTATGGTGGAAGCAACGGTCTCGTGGCGAATGTTGAGGTTTGCGGACCGCCATTGCGTCTGAGCCTTCATGAGGAAAAGGCAAGCATACGCAATCGTCGTGAGTAGGTACAGAGGCACGCCCAGCACTGCACGCCTCATATCGGGGTCGTTGAGAATGAGCTCCAAAGCTCCAAATGCACTGCATATAGCCAGATTCACAAGCTCACGGCGCTCATTAGACATTCTGAATTGCTCACTGGGCCGCAGACCCCGAAGACATATTGCAAATAGCTGCACCCGGGCAAAATGGTAGTGCAGTATGACGCCCTTGGCTGGATAGTCGGCGATGTGGGGGTTTGGTGCTAGATGAAGAGAAAACAAGCAGGTTAGAAGCTGACATATGCTGCCTAGAACGTTGTCACTGTCATACCGAGTCGAGGCTTCCATTGATCTCTCCACCGTGCCAGGTCAACGTCAAACCGCCGCAGGATTTCAAACTCGTCGTTGGCAATCATTCTCGATCTGTCGGGCCCGAATACATGGTAGATTCGACTGAGAATGATAAACACGCCGACCTGGCTGTGCAGGCGAAGATCCGACATTGTGATTCCGGGCAAGCGCAAAAAGTCTTCGTGACAGGACAGCGTCGAGTTCTCGCTAATCACGGGCGGCCGGCCGTAGGCAATGCTGAAGTGGTGATCGCAAACGTACAAAAAGTACCACAGCCTAGCCTCCTCGACGTACTCTGGACGGTCTCCTATGGCCATGGCGCAGAATTGGTGCAGGTTGAGTTCGGTGGCGATTCTTACGGCAAGCCCCGACAACTTCCAGCTCAGGTCGGACAAGTAGAAGGCGCCAATGCACAGTCCTCGCACATCATCAAGCGAGTGATAGCGGTCAAACATGGCCTGGCTGACGAGTTCGAGGAAGATCGGGTAGCAGACATCAAAGGACGTCCCGTCATCCTGAGCATGCAAGGCGGTCACGGCGAGAATTGCTGCGGTGAGCAGAGACGATGACGCTCTGGCGCCTTCTAAGCTGTCGTGAACTAGAGCTATGCCACCCCATAGATATGCATTCAGTGTTTCCCGAAACCTGGCAAAGAGCCGCTCTGCTTCCTGGAGGTCGAACTTTCCCTGGGATATAAAGTCGGGCTTTTGCGATGGACTTGAGGGACGATGCATCCGGGCCCACGGGTCGCTGCGGACATTACGCAGCTTGGTGACCTCGTAGAGGCTGGCCATGGGCGCGTTCACCATGGCCTGGTCGTCGGCCTCTGGTGCCTCTGGCTCGACAGAGTTCTCCCTGGTCATGCCGGTCGGTCGAATGGGCACAGGCACCGGCGCGTCGACATGAGTCTGGGGTGGCGGCTGCTGCACAGGCATTGACGGCCCATGGCCATGGCCATGGCCACCGCCTCGAAAGCCATGTGCATTCAAATTATTGGCACTCGCACTCGCCTGCAAGCCCGGCAGTTGAGCTGGCGTCGGACGCGGCACATGCACATGCATGCTCAACGCCCTTTGCACCTCGGACAGGGCCGCCTGGAGGCTCTGCATCTGCGCCTCAATGTTCTTCTTCCACTCGTTTTCGCTGTCCAACAGCGTCTGCAGGCTCTTGTTGACGACGCATTTCAGGCCAAGCCTGGCGCAGCGCGCGCACTGCTCTTGCCCAGGCTCCAAATCGCATTTGATTTTGCGGTTCTGGCATGCTTGACCTGGTTTGCGGAGTTAGCGCAGGCACTAGTTGACGGAGGAGCATTGAAATGAAGCAACGTTTCGTTTCGCCTGCAGCCAACGTCAATCTCACTTGACGCGAGCCATGTTCTTATCAACGCCAGGGCCATGGCCATGGCCGTGACAGGGAGCCATAAATATTGGCACGTTACAATACAGCCAATGAAAAAAATACAAAAAATAAAAATCAACAATTCTTACATGCTCGAATCTTCCGTGAGACCTTCGGCTGATGTTCGGCCGACTCGCTGGGCGGACTGACTTGGGATGAATCGAACCTTGCCCGCTTCATGATGCGATCAACGTCGTGGAACGAAGTCCGCGTGCAAGACTGGGTCGGACGGAGCTGTCTCTTTTAGCAGAGAAAACCCTGGAACATCGATAAGAGGGGGCGGGACAAAGACCGACGCGAGGTGCGAAAACTCTTTGCATCGTGGCCGAGTCCCGTCTCTGGCCCCCCAGCACTCGGGTCCGCCCCCCGCGCATGCGGCCGTGCACGTGCTCCCCGCCAGTCGCGGTTAGCACCCGGTGCCAACCTGGTCCCGGGCGCCACGCGGCCACGGCCCGGCAGCGTTCTGGCCTGATGTCGTGCGGAATTTGGGGCAATTGGGACCCGGCGGGCTTCTGCCCGTCACTCGACGCACTACGCAGACGAGCCAGAATCTGCGGGGATGGGGGGCGATGGCATGGCGAGACAAGAGCAGACTCGAGTTGAATCTCGGTCGGAGCCCCGGGCCAAAAAGTCTCACAAATGGGGGTCCCAAGCATTCGAGGGTGTTGATAATGGGGATGTGTGGTGTTTTAATACAAGTTTCCCCATCATCGATTAGATAGGGGTTATTTTAATTGTTACAATGCATACAATACACTACAGGCCGCACAACTTCATCGTGTCGCGAAACGGCAAACAAGTGCAAGTGGGCGAGACGAGGACGCAAGCCGGCCAGATGATGCCATTGACAGCCAGCAAGCCTGATGACGGCCCGGAGCCTGTCTCCCCTACCAACATTGGCTTTCTTGGTGCTCGTGGCTGGAGTTTGCCGCTGCTCATGGGTGCCGTGTCCAAGCCCGAGTTACGGGTTCATGTCTACGATGATGCCTCTGACCTGGTGCCGAGGCTGGCAGAGCTGGGCGCCATCACAAAAGACAGCCTCGTCAAGGTGGCAAGGCACTGCCAAACCATTGTGTGCGCAACATCCGATATCAAGGAGCTAGAGAGCCATCTGTTTTGCTCTCAGAGCGGCATATTACCAGGTATGGGCCACTTACATGATGATGATGTGGTTGGTGCGGTGCAGCCAACTGCTTTACTACACGCATGCGACAACCACGATGAATCCGAATGATTAACCGCTTTGCCAACAGCACTTCCAAAACATTCCATTGTCCTGCTTTCCCCCAGCAGTCCGCCGTCGTACTATCCGTACCTGCTCCGAAGAATAGCAGACGAGGGCAGGCCTGACGTCTCGCTTTTAGATGCCGCCTGTCTCGCCAAGTCATCACATGGTAATCACCACGGGCGCAACGTCCTTGTTCTGTCAGGACCCGCCGGGGCTCTTGCAGAAGCAAATGAAACGCTTCGCGGTATTCCGGTCCAGATATGGCCGATCCCCGGAGGGCTTGGCCAGGCCTCCAAAGTGGAAATGGTTAACCAACTCTTGACCGGCTTGCATGCGGCTGCAGCGGCCGAGGCCATGGGATTGGCGGCCAAGGCTGGACAAAATACGCAGGTTACCTTTGATATCATAAGCAACGCAGCTGGAACTTCATCGGCGTTTGAGACGCGTGTTCCGCACATGCTGTCGGGAGATTGGAAGTCTCAAGCTAGCACTTGGCAGCGAACCCTCGACAGCCTTGTATGATATTATCGCTGAGTCCCTCCCTTGTCCTACAGCAAAGGTCCACTTCTGACAGTCCTGAGCATATTAGAAATCTGCCATTTCAACGGCGCGAAAACTTCATTTTCCCTTGCCCCTGACTGCCACCGTAGAGCAGTTATTCATATCCGGTGTATCACAAGGCCTTGGCAATGATGGCGACGGCGCACTGGTTCGTGCCTACTTGCCCGAATGTCCCGACCTCGTCAAGGACAAGGCCGGCCAACGCAGCGTGAATACGTCGTCGCATGCTCCGTGCTGCAGAGCTGGTGACGTTTCCAAGATAGGCTTCGTTGGCCTGGGGGCCATGGGCCAAGGCATGGCCGCGTCGTTGATCCGGGCCGGCTTTGTCGTCCAGGGCTACGATGTTCACTCTCCTGCAGTAGAGGCATTCGCCAGCCTGGGCCCAGGTGCCATGTCAGCAGGTTCCCCGGGAGAAGCAATTAGTGGATCGGACGCGGTCCTGCTGATGGTGCAAAATGCGAGCCAGATTGACGACGTGCTCTTCGGAAGCTGCCGAGGTGCGGCTGCTTTGTCCAGCGGTTCGGTGGTCATTGTCAGCTCAACGGTTCCACCAGAACATGTCCGGAATGTCAATTTGAGACTGAAGGAGATGGGCAAAGGCGTTCTGTTGGTGGATGCCCCGGTCAGTGGAGGTGTAGCTCGGGCTGCCAACGGCACCTTGACGGTGAGCTTTTCCCCCTCCACACTTTGTTCCCCATGAAACACCCATGCCATTTTTGCTGACGGACCATGATTAGATTATCTGCTCTGGGGAGAATGAGGGCGTTTCCAAAGCTCGAGGGGTTCTCCTGGCCATGGCGGGGGGAGAGAAGAATTTATGCCAGGTCGAGGGCGGCATTGGTATGGCCTCATCGGTGAAGCTCATCAACCAGCTGCTCGCAGGAGTCCACATTGCTGCGGCTGCTGAAGCCATGGCGTTTGCTGCTCGTCTTGATCTTGACACCCAAATAGTATTTGACATTTTCAAGGCGTCCTCGGCGTGGAGTTGGATGTTTGAAAATAGAGTTCCCCAGATGTTGAACGGTGATTGGACCCCGCATTCCGCTTTAGCCATTTTCGTCAAAGATCTCGGGATAGTTCTTGATGAAGCCGCGCGGTTGAACTACTATGCGCCCATCTCCTCTGCCGCACACACCTTGTATCTGGCCGGCGCAGGCCACGGCTGGACAAATGAATCCGACTCGGGCGTAGTAAGGCTGTGGGAAATGCTAGGGCCATCAGTCAAGAGCAAGGCCAACGAGAAATTGGACAAGCCGAACAGCCAGGGTGTTGAAGACCAAGCCAAGAGGACGTCCATCATGAACCCCGGTTCTGACAACCGCAAAGGGCCACAGCGCCTCCCTGCTGCTCCTACTCTTGCATCACTGCCACCTGAATACCCCCACGACGTCCTCAGTTCCATCCAGGGGTTGGTGGGCAGCGATCAAGTTCCTACGCTGGTAATATTGGACGATGACCCCACAGGCACGCAGACTTGTCACGATATTGACGTCCTGACGGTGTGGGATTCGGAGACGCTGGATTCCGAGTTCCGTCTTGACCCCCGCGGTTTCTTCATCTTGACCAACTCGCGAGCACTCCCATCCGCAGCAGCTCGCGAGTTGATCCAAGAAATCTGCGCAAACGTCGCACAAGCAGCGAAAAGAGCCGGCAAGGCCTTCGAAATCGTCCTTCGAGGGGACTCCACCTTGCGAGGCCATCTTCCCGAGGAGCCCGAGGCAGCAGAGGCCGCCCTTGGTGCGTTTGACGGCTGGATAATTTCTCCATTTTTCGCCCAGGGCGGCAGATACACTATTGATGACGTGCACTACGTGAAAGAAGGGGATACCCTGGTGCCCGCCAGCCAGACGCAGTTTGCTGCCGATGCTACTTTTGGATATCAAAACTCCAATTTGCGGCAATACATTCTCGAAAAGTGCGGCCCGCGCTTCAACAATGATTCCTTCCTCAGCGTCACCTTGCAAGACATCCGAGAGGGGGGGCCCAAAGCCGTGACGGAGAAGCTGCTCTCTGTGGGCCCGGACTCCAACAGAGTCATCATTGTGAATGCCGTCGCCGAGTCAGATATGCATGTATTCGTCGCCGGCCTCTTGGAGGCGGAGAAAGGGGGCAGGCGATATCTCTACCGAACAGGGGCGGCCTTTGTCTCGTCGAGACTTGGCATCAAGGGCATCCCGCCACTCACCATGAAAGACCTGGGGGTGTTTTCGGGTGCTGGCGAAAGACGTCCCGGCGGACTGGTCATTGCCGGATCATATGTCCCAAAGACGACAGTGCAGTTGGAGGCCCTGAGACAACGGCTCAAAGCTAAGCTGCAAGTGGTGGAACTCAAGGTGCCAGACTTGATTGCCTCGGAGGATGCTGCCGAGAGCATCGTCAGGGCAGCAGCACAGGCTGTCTCCATGAAGCTTTACGCCGGACACGACGTTCTCGTCATGACATCAAGAGCGCTCATAAAAGGCCATGATGGCCTTAGTTCTTTGAACATTGGGTCTAAAGTTGCCAATGCTCTCGTGCAATTGCTGGGGCTGGTTGACGTCCATCCGAGGTACATTATCGCCAAGGGTGGCATTACTTCATCTGACACTGCCACAAAAGGCCTCAAAATGAAGCGCGCCAGGGTTTTGGGCCAAGCAGCTCCTGGCGTGCCGCTATGGCGATGCGATGAGGAAACAAGCCGGCATCGGGGCGTCCCGTTTGTCGTTTTCCCTGGAAATGTCGGCAATGAGGACGCCTTGGCAGATCTCGTGGAAGCATGGGCAATGCCAGAGGAGGCATCATAACTTGGAGGTTTTGCTTTTTTCGAATATGATATCACCTAATACATTGCCGTAAATACGAGACTTATAGCGCGTGATTTGCCAGTAATACTTGTTCGTGTGTTCACAACCCATCATTCGCAAGAAAAATACGTGTGTGCTGGTAGATTCCTGCCCCTGAGCTTGCCATGTGATACGAACCGAGTTATCCACCAGCGCAAAAGCGTTGCAAGCAGACTTGCCCCATATGCCGGCACGACTGCAGCGCGTTGAGCGTAAGCTCTTGTGGTTGTGTCTCTTAGAAGCTCGCATGCGAATACATACTCATGACTTCCAAACCACACACCAAGTGAGAACACAGCGTCGTATCCGTGCTGAGGAATTCGTATCCAAAGAATCCAGCAAACCAGGCGCACAGCCTTACCCCATTGCTTAACCTCGGATTAATAATTGCGGCTTTATTGGTCCCGACCGGAGTTGGCTCTATTATATCCGCCTAGTTGATAGGACTTCCTTTGAGCGTATCCAATCACAGTCCGGTGCCACGGATAATCGCAGGTCGTAAGAGAAGAAGAATCCCACAAACAAGAGACCGTCGCGTTTCGAGTATCAAGACGACATACCGGATGCGT